TCCCAGGGGGGCTCATTTTGGCCATCCCAGGGGGGCTCATTTTGGCCTTCCCAGGCTGCCACTGCATCCACCACCTGCCTGCTCCTGGTCCCAGCTACCAGGGTGCACATGGAATGAGTGGGCATCCCCACAGGGGTCAGAGCCCTGGCTGCTCAAAACCAAGAAATAAATGAATAGGTGGCAATTATAGAGGCAGGAAAATCAACCCCTAATGATTGGATTCCTGAGGAAATAGGGGAAGAGGTGCAAGCTGGGAGGTCCTGGGTGCAGCACAGCAGAGGGGGTGCTCCATGCTGGAGCTGGAAGTCGGTGGGTCAAGGGCAGGAAGAACTGGGAAAGGGTTTCCCCCCCCCCCCGCAGGAAATTACACAACAGGGTTTGTGCTTCCAAACTGTATCTTAAAAAAAAAAAAAATAAAAAGTTATATATATCAGCAATATTTGGACAAAGCCTGGATATTCCCCAGGCAGGGCACACGAGCCAAGAGCTGTTTGTGCAACCCTTCAACCCTTCCACCAAGTGCTGGCTTGCTAAATTAGGTTTGCTTAAATCACGTTTGGCTTCTAACCCCTCGCAGCTGCATTTCCCGCCTCCCGAGCTGCAAAATGCGCTCCGCAGGGCAGGGAGAAAATAAGAGAGAAAGGAAAAAAAAAACCAAACACAACCAAGTAAACCAAACGCACGTTGTCCAGGCAATAACTGTCCATGGCGATAACTGTTAATATGTTAATATTAACTGCGGCAGAGAAAAACGCGCTGCCGCCCCTGCCCTTCCCTGCCGGAGGATCCCGGTGGGAGAGGGGGGTTCCCAACGCCCGCTGGAGCGTAAGGAGATAAACACGAAGATAAACACGAGCGTTGCTCGCGGCGCAGCTGCCTCTTCTCCAGCTTCATCCCTGCTCCCGGCTCTTTCGGGGCCGCCTGGCTCTGCTGCACGTGAATCCCATCGGCACAAACCGCCGGCCCTTCCTGCCAAACTCCAGGGCTCGGGGGGGGCAGAGGGACCCCAGGATCGGGGGGCTCGGGGGAGCAGAGGGACCCCGGGGTCGGGGGTGGCTCGGGGGGGCAGAGGGACC